GAAGCCCTTCTTGCAATCCTTTCTGGTAGCTTTTCAAAGGGGGGTTCGGGCGGGGGGTAGGATTCAGACCTTTGTGGTTTGCGCTCTCAGGCTTCCTTGCCGTCTGTTGTAGGCTTGTGCTTGTCGGTGTTTCTTGAAGTTTGGTTTTATATAAGTCTTGAGCGGTCAGGAATCCAAATCGTTTGTTTTGAGGGGGCTATTGAAGTCCTCCGGGGATGGGCTTTGAGAGCCATTGCACTGGTCGGTTTTAAACGAACTGACTTGCAGTTCTTTGAGATTTGTTAAAGCTTTGGGGCTTAGGGCTTGGGTGCTGCAACTAGGGCTTCAAGGACGGTGCTTGTCAGTCCTTTGTGGTTTGGGATTCAGGGGCACTTTTTGCTTTCTCGCCCGGAGAGACTAACCTGCCCATGTAAAGCAAGAAACTAAACCTTTACATACCTTTGCCAGAAAATTCCCTGAGCCCTAAGTGCTAAGCCCTAAACCACGCATCAGGTAGACCTCGCCGAGAAAGGCAATCATAAGGACCGAAGCGAGAGACAACTCCATCCATGTTCTCCGCTACAGTGAGCATTTTTGGGTTCTTGGGGTACGCATCGTGTTCCCGCCGCAGTCTCGTGCATATCCGCCTGTCGAAATCGTGCTCCCGCCCAATTACGTTGCGTTTTTCGGTTCTTGGGACATCCCGTAAAACCACTCAATTATGTAGCATGTCGAGCAGAAGGTCAGTCCCTCTGATCCCATCAACGAACGATCCCTTCGCATGACGCACAGCACTGTGAGTGGCTATGGTAGGCTTTTCCTGCCCCCAATGCCCCTGCATGAAGGATTTTCAAACCCTCATGATCCAGACGTCTCCCAGAAGACTCAATGAAATTCTATGAAAACCTTGCGAAACCACTTTGAAGCCCTGCCGTGGCTTCCCAAGTGCATCCGGAGCTCCATGTAGTTCTTCAGCTCCACGAGCGAGCCCTGGAATGCTTTTACTTCATCCTCCGCCACATCCAGATACCTTTCAAAGCTGTTTGCTCGCATCGGCATTTAGATTCAAGATGTTGTGGCTACTTTATCTCATAACTTGCTGTTCACAGCAAGCGCTTGCTCTCTAGTCTCTTGCCTGTATCGAGGTTACAATCGGCAGACACAACAAAAACATACGACCAAAACTTGTGATATTTGGAGAAAATGCCGCCAAAAGCTCAGGTGCATTGGCTCAGGCCGGCATGTGCGCACAAATTTGCATCTGTGCGTACATACAGGCTACAGGTGTATGACACGCAGGCAATGCACACACACATATATATATATACACACATACACACACAGATATCTATGATGACCTATTAATGGTTGAGTTGATACATATACACAAGTACACATAAGACACACACACACATACACACACGTATACATACATATATATACATGTACATATATGTTATTCTGTGCTGATTTATACATGCATACATATGTCTGTAGACATATTAGGTGCATGCTGCCGTGTATTGGATTTTGTATTTATACTTTCACACTGAAATATACACATTCGTACATATACATATGTATAAACACCCTCTCTTACACACAGAGCAACCAAATAGACATGTACATCATCCCACACATTAAATGGTAACCAAGCAAATTATTCAACATATACTGGTGTATATATGCATGCATGCATGCATGAATGCGTGCATGCATCCGTGGGCATGTGTATCTGTATGTCCACATGCATGAGTGAACGTACGCACGTATGTACGTATGTATGTACGTGTTTTCCTTAACCGGTAAAAGTACTGCAAGGTACTGTACTGCTATGTGTTGCAATGTGCATGTGTGACTCTCTGCTTTTGTGTGTGTGTCTACGTGTACCCCCCGTGCCTATCTTCGCCTGCCTGTCCACGTGTATGCATGCTTGTGTTTAGGGTTTAGGGTTTAAGGTTTAAGGTTTAGGGCTTTAGGGTTTAGGGTTTTAGGGTTTAGGGCTCTTCGCCTTTGCTTTTGTGTTCGGCCAAGGAGCGAGTCCACCTTCGTACGCAGCTGCCACCAGATATGGTCCAAAGACATCAGGACCTCTTGAGCTTGGGGCTGAACACGAGAATGGCGAAAAAAATTGCAGTCATGGCCGGCGGGATGAAAATTCAAGGGATAGCAGCGGATAGGACTTAGAGATGTCGAGTTGAGCTTCCGGCATTTGGAGCCTGGGGCAGGGGCCACAAAAAGCTAAGCAAACTACACCTTCCCCCACACCAACACCTGTTGAGAGACTTGTAACCTGCCAACTCCCCACCCACATCAATAAAGGAGCGTGTTTAGATATAAATAAAAATATATATTGTGATTGTACAATGTGCATATATATATATATATAGATGTCTGAATGAAATTACGTAAACTTATATTCTTGACATTGAAAATATCCAGATACACGGCAGTGGTAAGCTGGAATTCGAAATCCAAGCAAAGCCTTGTAGGCCGAATTCAGCTGAAAGTTGTGCTCTTTGCTCAAAGTCTGATGGTGCTCGTTGCATCCTGCAAGTTTCCTGGTCATGAATGGCTACCGACGTGCTGGACGAGTCCTGCAGAAGGAACTTGGTTTAAGTTACTCTCACAGGGATAAAAAGTAACTACATTGATGATGTCATGGTAAGTTACTTGACACTCTGTATATTTTCACGAAGACCACATCCTCAATGAAGCGTCCATACTACAAAACCCTTGAAAGTGCGCCTACTAGTACTGTGCAATCCCCTCGCTGCCCTAAATTCCCTAAATCCATTCATGGAACTTTTCTGTGGTACTCTGTAGCCCTTACTCTTGGCAGCCCTCACTTTGGGGTCCTGCAGATCTTAAATCCCCTAAATCCCCAAGGTCCAACACTCCACTTTAAGACCATCCTTGGAGCCCTAAACCCTAAACCCCAATATTTCTATCGTGTACGACAAGATGTGCTCCAATATATTTGCTACCCCCTACTTAGCAAAGCCCTTTTAGGACCGTTTCTAGATTTTCCTGAAATTCCACCCCTCCCCCCCCCCAAACCCTAAAGGGGAAAAAAACACCGCTAAATCAGATCTGCCTGGTGCCGCTCCCGGGCCAAGGCCTTGGAGGCCTTGCTGCGTGCGGCGTGGCTCGAGGCGTTGCCTTGGCCAAGCCGCGGCTTCAAGGAAGTCACCAGGGAGGGTAGTGTGAGCACCATGATAACTTGAATTGGGCTGGGCTTTTCTAAATAACGCTGTTGCGCGTTCTCTAATCCTCTCTCCCTCTCTCTCTGTCTCTCGCTCGATGCATTTTGTAAGCATGCCTAGGTCACATGTGTTCTGTCGAATCGAGCATCGCAGTGTTCTGTGGACTTCAGTTTTGAAAGAAGCACATTGAAGCTCGGAAGCTCAACAGCCTTACTGTAGACAGACTTTGTGACTCTGAACCCAAACTACACCAAAACCTCAAGCTCAATCTCAATCAGTCGCTGTAGCATAGGCCTAGACTCCTAGACGAGGCAAGGAGCTTTCCCGGCGGTAGACGCCCAATGTGCGGAGATGGAAGCTTGCCTGGCTGTATTATGGTGGATCTACGCTGTCGCAACCCGGACTCAGTGTTTGGGGATCAGGCAGCAGATGGTAGCAGACTTGGGGCATCTGAGCTCTCGAGGTTTCCTGCTTGTTTATACAAAGGCCCGGAAAGTCCCAACGGCCTGGCGCTGGAGATGACGAACAGTCTGCGCAACCTGGCATCGATCGTAGATTTATTTTTTGAGGAATCCGAGATTCAGGGGAGGGGTTTAGGATGCTGGGCCTCGGTGCTTGGGTTTCAGCGCGCAATAGCAGCTTGTAATCCTGAATGCCCCGACCTGCTCCACTCTTTTCTTCATTGACTACACTCAACACCGATGATAACACCAGGTGTACTATGTTACGCCTCCTGCAAAACATGCTACACCGTTTAGGGCGACAGCCCTCTAACAACCGTGTGTTGCTTGGCCTTTGCAAGCGTATTCTTGATGAAAGCCAAAGCATGCACATCGACCCCCTACAAGGCCTCCAACCACCAACGTTGAAATTCAAGGCATGCAAAACACATCAAGAACCCCAAATGCCAAACCTGAACACTACCTCTGCATCATCATGGATCCAGGTATCTGTATCCTGTACAAGGAAACAAAGACACGCAGACCTGGCGGCTCAGCATGTCACTCTTGTCCCGGCCACGACCGGCACGCTGCAGCGTTTGGTGTAAAACCTTGGGCTTATGTAGGTCGCTAGGGCTTAGGTTTAAGGTTGGTTGCTGTAGACAAAAAGCGGGATGACAAGTCAAATTCTGCCTCTCTCTCTCTCTCTCTCTCTCCCCGTATATATGTATAGACTATTACATATACACACACACATATATATATATATGCTCTCTCTCTCTCTCTCTGTGGGCAGAAGAATGCACAGTTCCTTGCCTTGTTCTGTCCGCACTCACTTCAGCTTTCAGAAGGCGGCTTTCAGGTCTTTAGATGGCCTCCTCCAAAGATGGTAAATCCCCTGGCACCAATTGGATGTTGACACTCCAAGCCCCAAATCGCGAGCGTAATAGCAAACCCAAGCAGGCGGCGGAACAAACAAACCTCACAAATGATTAAACTGTCAGATCATTAAGCCCTCCGCTGGTGCCCTTGCACCAACCACTGAAGACACAAACGTAAACTACGGTTCGTAGCAAACGCTGGCGAGGATCTACGCAAAAACAAGCGGAGAAAAGCGAACTGTGCCATGGCACGGTGTACCGGTTCGGAACTGTACTGGGTTGTAGCACACGCGGTTCAACTCCATTACACATCGTCTCCCAGAAGCAGCACATGCAAGAAATGCTCAGTCTGAAATTGGAAACCTGAGAAACCTAGGGCTGTGGTCATCCGACCTAAGCTGAAGTTTTCGCGTAATGGACCAGAGCCCAGAGCCGTCAACTCAACGCCCTTCGCCCTCGAGGTCCGAACCCTGAGAACGCCCGATAGACTACAAACAACGACGCTAAAATCAAGGGCTGTAGGGGTTCAGAGTTTAGGGGTTTAGGGTTAGGATCTTTATAACGCCTATAGGGCCTATGACTCTTATAGTAACCCTTACAGAACCCTGTCTGCAACCAAGGCACATCCAAGCGCCCAAGCAGCGAAGCGGCAGCCGTGGCATTGGCTTTCGGGGAGAAGTCCGCAGATGTCAGGAAGTCCTTTTGGGCTTCTATGGCTTAGGATCCGAGCTTTGGGGTTTAGGGTTTAGGGCTCTGCTGTAAGTCCAGAAGATGGCTCTTAGAATGGAGTGTCCGTGTCATGGCACGCAACTACAGACCACACCCGGATTAGCACCCGCAGACAGAAACCTTAAACCACGGTACCCTAAACCCTAAACCTTGAACCTTAAACCGCAAACCCTGAACCTTCAACCATGGTATTCTAAACCCTAAACCCTAAACCTTAAACCTTAAACCCCAAACCCTGAACCTTCAACCATGGTATTCTAAACCCTAAACCCTGAACCTTAAACCTTAAACCCCAAACCCCAAACCCGAAACCATAAGCCGGAGACTCCAAACCCAGAGTGCTGGCTGGTTTTAAGGTCTGCGTAAGTCCCAGGGCAGGTCCGTGATGGCTTTGAACTAAGCTGACGGGGACTATGGTTCTATGGCTTCGAAGTCTTGGGATCTTGAAGGTGACAGGCATCTTGTGCATGCAACAGAGCTACAGACATGTGCCTAAAGCTTTGTGTCTTGACCAGACGATGTCGATGCATGTCGGGGCTGAGATTGAACAACTCCCAAAAACCCAACAAGCCCACAGACTCAAAAACTGCGAAGCGATGGCAACTCGTAAGCAGCCCCCCTCAGTTGATCCTCGATCCGAAGCTGGTTCCAAGCTCAATCGAAATCGCGAGCAAATTGCCATCAGTATGTCGCCTGCAAACCCCCTTTCAGCTGGCAACCGTGAGCGGGCCTCCCCGTTAGGGGCTTGAAAGCCTTGTCGCGCTCAGCAATAATATCGGCGGGACATGAGGCTGTAAGGCAACAACCATCCCCACTCCGCAACATTGGCTTGCCCCAAACTGATCTTGGAAGTCCAAGCATCTTGCAACGCTCCCTTGGCCGTGATCTTCGAGAGCTCATCGAAGGATGCAGCCTGCAACACGCGGCTTCGGCTTTGTCTGCTGCGGTCTCGTGTCGTGTAGGACCTCTTGCATGCTTTAGAACCGTTGGGGATGACTGGCTAATTATTTCTGTCGAGACTTGGGTTTGAGTGCCATGAAGAGACAGAACTGTTTCAACAGAACTAAAGACGAAGCTGGTACCTGACACCTGTCCAGTTTTTAGCTTTGAATATAGAGTCGACCTCATACGCAAGGAGTCAGTATGTCAAAAAAGGCTATTTGCAGGAACTCGGATGTCGAGAACATTTCAACCGCCAGATACAGTAAACCCTAGACCCTAAACCCTGAACCCTAAACCCTGAACCCTAAACCCTAAACCCCGAAACCCTCAAAGTAAGCGAAAGCATCGCTCCTGTGGCAGTCCTTGCCGACTCTGCCTCTTGCCTCACACATGGCAGCCTGCACCGTTAAAAACCATCAACGATTGCACTGGCACCTGTAGGATGCAAGCATACACCACAAGCATATATGTGTGTGTGTATATATATATACACATACATACACAGTTGCGTTGGAGGCCACCCAGACACACATAAGCCCAAAGTCTAATGACATGCTTTGCCTGTTGTGGACTAAGGCACGTAGATAGTCGTGACCTACTTGGAGGTTCATGGGTAGTTATAAGTGGGGTTATAAGTCCCCTAATATGGGTTATAGGTATAGTTACCCTACTTATAACCCTATTTATAACTACCCATGGACCTCCAAACCCTAAATCCTATAGAACCCCAAAGAGCCCTTAAAGGAACCCTACTTATAACCCTATATAACTACCCATGAACCTCCAAGTAGTGGGATGAGGCTTTTGGAACGGGTCCCTGAAGGGACTGAGGCCTCCTCAACGGAGTTCTCTTTGTGGTTCGGGTTTGGGGTTTAGGGTTTAGGGGTTTAGGGTTTAGGGGTTTAGGGTTTAGGGTGTAGGGTTTAGGGTTTAGGGTTTAGGGTGTAGGGGTTTAGGGTTTAGGGGTTTACAACTAAAGCCTGAGCCATCAAGAAACACCCGCAAAGGCAAATCACCACCAAGCTGCCTCCTAACCCCCTAAACCCGAAAGCCTACAAACCCTTTTCACAAAGACCCCTTCTGTGAGGCTGGCACAAACCCTTGAACCCCAAACCCGCCATAGCATCGAGCCCGCCTGAGCGTAGCCGGCGAGCTCAGTAAACCTCGGGACGAAATCGTTGAGAAGTAGTGATTGTGATTTTTTCTTTCTGGGGCTCTGAAGCATTTAGGGAGTTGTTGGTGTTTTAGTAACTGCTTTGGGGGCTTAGCGCCGGGAAACACAAGGTTTTGCGGGGACCTAGTATAGGCCTTTTATAGGGGTGTTGCGGGATGTGAGTTCGGCAGCTCAGAAGAAAGCACGGAGATGCACTACAAAAGGATAATTTCTACATACGAGGTTTCAGCCTCTGTTTTTCGCGAACTTGAAACCTCTGGAGGATGTCTGCTATCAGGCATAAGAAAAATCGCCTAAAGTCCTCTGAAGTCCCCTGAACTTGACTACGATGCAAAACAACAACAGTTCGAAACATGTCCAAGCATCGCAATAAACAAGGAGCACACAATCCACAATACAACCAACCTAAAGCATCCCGGACGCACCAACATCTGCTGCCACTTCTCTACAAGTCGAGAAAACGGATCGCAACCCATGAACGCCTGCAACGGCCCCTGACACGGAATAGAATCTCGACCTGTCAACACTCCGAAAATCCCACCCCAAGGAAGCCAAACCGAACGTCCTAAACCACATGATCCAGTCCCGGGTGCATTGAATCAGTGGCTCTCTCGGTGTTTTGCAAGAGCTCCCCCTGAGCACAATGCTTCCAAGGAGGTGTCCAATGTCCAATGTAGGCTCTACAAACCACCAAGGCCAAACCAACCCCAAGTTTCGGCTTTCCACTCGCGCACTCGCAAAGCCGGCACGGATCTAGGCGACGGGTCTCAGCCCCAAATTTCGGCTTTAGGGTCCATGCTTTTTAAGTCGCCACTTCAATTCTGAAGAAGACCCTCGCAGGCTCTGCGGAGACCCTCATTGAGAAGCTCCGCGGGGCGGCTCACAGCGACCGCAAAGGCTATCAGCGGCTTCGAAACCCACAGCATAGCAGCACCACCAAGGAACCCGAAGGGTTCAGGGTTTAGGGTTGAGGGTTTAGGGTTGAGGGTTTGGGGTTGAGGGTTTAGGTTTAGGGTTTAGGGTTTTAGGGTTTAGGGTTTAGGGTTGTACTTTTCCAGGCCTCTCAGGCACCCCCCAGCCTTCAACTGGCCCAGCCTTCATCCGCGAATGTCCTCTGACTTCCAAAACAACTGCCCCCTAAAGCCCCTGCAAAAATCGTCTATACAAAAATCCATCTAAGCCAGAAGTAATGATGACCCCATCTTCAACCCTTTATGCCCTAATCCTAAACCCTCTAAATGCCTATGAAACCCTAAAGACCCTTGAAGCCCCAAAAGGACCCCCAAGAAAAAACTGCCAGAGCTTGGCGCCCGCTCCTCCGCGGCTTGGGACTGCTTGGTCACCATGTCCTCGGGCCGCCGGGAGGCATCCGGCTCCCGGGGAAAGCGCAAGGGGACATGGGCCGGGGAATTTGTTTTTTTGGGGGGGATTCGGGTTTAGGGTTGAGGGTTTAGGGGGAGTGGCGGGGTGTTAGCGGGCTTTTGGGGGGCTTTGTAGGCGCATTTGGGGTCATAGGACAGCACTTCCTAGCAGCGCCGGTGTTTGAGAGGCAGTCGGGTCGGTTCTGGGATTCAGGGCTTAGGCTCTCCGCAGGTCGTTTCTGTCTGGAGGAGTTCTCAAGCTCGCGTCGAGAAGGTCCTGAAGAGCCGCCAGCTTCTTGCAGGCTTGATTTTGGCAACACTCTGGGTGCTGAGTCTCGCGCTTTCCGTTTGTATGCCGTCCCTCTGTGGGGCCGAACTGCTGAGATTGACGCACGTATACTATGTGCAGGCATGCTCTCTTCTGCGAGTCCTAGCCCCCAAGATCTGAGGAAGAACTACTCCCACGGCTTTTCCCATACGACGGATAGGCAGTGATGCAACAGAACGAGTTGAGGCTAGATACTGCTGGGGCGCTGTAGCCACCGAAAACGGCGGCACAACATGTTCGGGCTCAATTGTGGTACTTGGGGGTTCATGGGTAGTTTTCCACGGAGTTCTAGGTAGGGTAATTATACTTATAACCCATACCATACTGGGGACTTATAACCCCACGTATGACGACACATGGACCTCAAAGTAGCTTCGACGCGCCTGCTACATGTCAACACGTCGCCACATATGCAACAAACAGCTATGTGCAAAGTTGCAGACGGAAGACAATGGTGAACATCGGAAAGAATTTTCATGGGAAGCTTCTTGGACACAATAGGCTTACAGTGCTAGTTGTGAGCGCTTTCAGATGATGATCCATGCCTCCGGGCAGGTCTGTAACGGCTTCGGGTCTCGCAGTCTAGCAGCGCACGGACGGTCGTTACGAAAAAGGAGCCAACATTCCGCCGGGCGTCGTGGATTTCCTGCATGTAGGCAGTGTTGATGATGTGCATGTAGTCCAGCTTCTCGCCAATCCACCCGATGTCCGTGTGAGAAGCATCGACTGACCACTTGACCAGAGCCTGGCAGAAGACCCTAGACCTTAACGCAGGGAGCCCCAACCGAAGGACCATAAACTCCCTAAGCCCGAGAAAAAGACCCTGAGCCCCAATACAGGGACCGTGCAAAAACAAAAAAACAGTAATGACGTCGCCAAACTTCGAGTCCACCTAAAGAATTTGAGCCCAACCGCACTGACCCAAGCCCTGATACGCTTAAGACAAAACCCCCAAAGCCAAAACGTCAACGGCTCTCATGCACAACTACAAAAAACACAGAGCGAAACTTGCCGGAAAGCCCGAGTCAAAATAAGACCCTGCAGACACCGTCAGCCTTCAAGTTGTTGTTGGTCTTCTTCGTTGCCATCTCAAGGTTACCTCTCGGCTACGGTTTAGGGTGTAGGGTGTAGGGTTTAGGGTTTAGGGTTTAGGGTTTAGGGTTTAGGGTTTAGGGTTTAGGGTTTAGGGTTTAGGGCAACGATTTGGGGTTCAGGGCCTTGCCACTGGAGCTGGTGTATGGAGCAGAGGATCTAAGGTCTTGGGCCCGGAAATCACCTTTCTTGCAGCCTTCCGCACCTCTTCAGGATTTGCGCTCAGGATTTAAGGTTCCGGGTTTAGGATGCAAGGGCGGTTGAAGACAAGTTTACGGTTTCGGCTTTCGGTCCAGGCTCGGGGCGACCTCCATTGCTGTTGCTTTTTTCGGGCTTAGGGTTCCTTGAAGCGTTCCGTGCCGCCGACGAGTGAAATTCCCACTCTCTTGTTTGTAGTGAAAGCGGGTTTGTCTTTTGCAGGGTCGCGCTGTTATACAACGTATCTAAACGCAGTGTCAGCTAGCTCTGGCTTAACTTTCACACGCGAACACTTTTCGAAGACATGCCTTGGTAAGTGTGACCCGTGCATCTTCTGCTTGTTCTCCCCAACAACACGGGAGAGTGGTTTTGGGATAGCCCATGCACCATAGGTGCACGGAAAAAGGGGTGCCAGGTATAAGTTGCCCAACTCGAATGTCCAGCATGAAAATCTGAACATGATGGTCGAGCAGATAACTGAACAGTAGATAGAATCTCGAACCTTGAAGTCTCCTTTACACCCAAAAGAAAGACCCTCAACCCACACTCCTGTCCACCAAGTGTCGGATGATGGACCGATCGCCCCGAATCACGGCATCCCGCACACAGTGGATGTCGCAGAAGGCGCGCGCAAATCCGATTTGCATGGGATTGCACGCTGCGTAGCCTTCCTCCGCAAGGATTTGCTCCCACTAGTTTCTCTCAGGCTGCCCTAAACCGTAAACCCTAAACCTGCAGGGATCTGCAAGTGTTGGCTATAGAGACCCTTTTCTCGGGGGACCACGAAGACGTGAACAGTTGCAAGGCTGCTACTGCGGCATGCAGAGATTCGCACTTGCCTACTGTGTTGCTCAAGCGCCAGCGCTTGCCGTTCTTTCAAAGCGGACTCTGCGCCAAGGGCAAAAAAAACGTCCGCACTAAGATCACTTGGAGGTTCATGGGTAGTTGTAAATGGGGTTATAAGTCCCCCAACATGGGTTATAAGTATGGTTACCCTACTTATAACCCTAAGCCTATTTATAACTACCCATGAGCCTCCAAGTACATGTCACTACATGTAGCCTGCATCTTCCAGGGCCTCCTCGGTTCTCGCGCAGGACGTGGAAGACGAAGTACTACTGCCGTAACTCAAGGACTTTACCCTAAAACCCCAAAAAAAACCTACCCCAAACGCCTTTGAAGAGATTTCTTCTGCTTGATCCCAGCTCCGGGATTCTGCAGGCAAGGCTCTTGCTCGATGGACCAGCCCTGCCTGTTCGAAGGTCACATGGGGCTCAGGGTAGCAGAGTTGCATGGGGTTTTTATAGGGCTCACCATGACTTCCATAAAGGGTATTGTAGGCCTTTCCAAGGCTTTACGTTAAAAGTCTGCACGGTACGAGAGGGGCCGTGGTAATGATGAAGTTCATCCCACCTCCAAAGGTCCAATGTCCAAGTGGCATTCCCCTATGGGTTTAAGTGGCACCGGAAACAGAGCCCAAATCCCAAAACAAGACATCCAAAAAGGAGGACTACTTGGACTGCTGCAGCAAGGGTCGGGTCTCTGCAACGGACCCGAGAGCAACGCTTCGGTTTGGGGCTTTCAGGGCTTTATTGGCTGAACGGTGTAGCACTTTAGGGGCTTGACTCGGGGCTAAGTATGTGCAGTTTAAACCGAGAGGACAAGGCTTGAAGTTGAGACACAGAATCACGAATGATTGTACATAAGGGTCTTACTATTGCCGTTCTCATTTTGGCAATTCGGCTCCGCTCAGGATCTAACTTTGCAAGGTGCTCACTAAGGCTGTAAGTCCGCATGCACAAGTCTTCCGTTGTATGTGTATGTTTATTTGTACGATTAAACCCTAAACCCTAAACCCTAAACCCAAAACCAAGAGACAGAGAGACAGAGACAGAGAGAGAGAGAGAGAGGAAAGGAGAGATCGATGTTCAAGCCGGACCATAGGAGATAAACAGTCTTGGTTCTTAAGTCTCTTGTGGCTAGCCAATTGGAAACTCGTAAACCCTGTAAATGTATGGTTCAAGTACAGCTCCTGTAGACGAAAGCCCTAAACACAGAAACAGTACACTCTACATGATTCTAAGTCTCACGACTCCGATTCTACATTCCCAAACCCCCATCATAAACCTGAAGCTCCAGTAGCCAAAACATCCCAACACCCTGTGCAGGCTCTTGCAAATTGCTACCTGGCTACCCCCAACCTCTAAATCCTACAAGCTGTCTTCCGGCTCTAAACTATCCTACAGACCTCTACTCCGAAGAAACCCTCCCTTCTATCATCAGACTAGAACCCTAAAAACCCTCCAAAGTCTTTTACTAAATCCTAAAGCCGCCTCGCGAAGTGGAACCCGCTGACCGGGCCGGCAAAGTTTTTGACGGCCCCCACGAGCTCCGAAATGCCTGGACGACTCTAAGGGTTTTAAGAGGGCTTTAATACAAGCTCTAGAACGCCTGTAAAAGGGTGTTTTTTATAAAGGTTTTACTTCAAGGCTCTTTGGAAAACGCAAGTTCCATGGGGCTCAGGGGAAGCTTAGCCCTTAGTGACTTCTGTGGCTTTGCGGCTTTACTGGAAAAAACGGCTTACTGTACGTGCGCTCGGCTTTAACATGTCAAGGTTGAGGCGGCTTTCGTCTCGGGGTCTCAAAAAGAGGCAAGAAGTAAGGTTTAGGGTTTAGGGGTTAGTACATCTTATTTCTTACATGCAGGGCACCCTGTATGGTTCGTAATTAGACTGTTCCTGGTGGGGAACTGGGCTGCCTTGTGTATTGGAATACACGCTGAACCGCAGCGTGCGAGAATGGTTTATGGGCTGAAGCGATTCATACGCAGCTTGCGACGGGAACATCTTCGGCATTCCCCAGTGAACATTCACCGCAAGTAGAGGAGCTAAAGAATCAAAGTGGCCATCGCAGATGTCACCCGGGTTGAGCGCAATTCCAGCGCCGAGTGGGGCAACCATCACCTTGGCTCTCAATCCCAAGCATGTCGTGCTCTCGAATGCTGACACCGAGCAAAAAGGTTAGAAACCTGCGACCGCAAGAAGAAGGCTGAGGCAGGAAAGAAGAGATCGAGATGTCGTGAAATCGATCTACTTGCAGCTCTGCATTTCGATCCGAGGATCACCCGAAGCCAGACTGTACACTCCCTCGCTATCCAACGGCAACCGTGGCCCTACAGCCAAGTTCATACCGGCAAAACCATGTGTAACCTTTTGGAGTCACCGCCGATGAAGCCACTCGCAGCTCCGGAACTTAAGCCACCTGAACCTTCACATGTTCATAGGGTCAAGTGATCTGCGATCCTTTTGCCGGGCTGCATCCGGAATGGCGCCGCACACCGCACCCAAAGTCTCCTCCGTGAGATCCATGACGAAGTCCTTGGTTGCTGTTCTTTCGATAGGACTGCGAAGTCGTTCTGCCCTAAGTGCAGTCTTCGATCAGCAGAATTTGCTCAGTTGACCCACTCGTCTTTCTTTGGAGCAAATACTGCCAGAGTCTACTCCTCTAAATAACTCCACTCCCTATAAGTTCTCCAGAAATCCTTGGAGTTCAGGACCCCCGGAACCCCCGGAGGCAGAAAGAACGGCAAGGCTCGGCAAGCGCGGAATGATAGTCCAACTGCGCAGAGGCCAGGTCGCGCTCGATGTCGCCTCCGCTGCTTTGTTTCTGGTGGGTTTAAGTGGGTTTAGGGTTTAGGGTTTTGGGGTTTAGGGTTTAGGATTTAGGGTTTAGGGGTTTAGGGGTTTAAGCCATTTCACCTCTCGCGACTCGCAGAAGGCAGGAGAGGGCTCCACATGATCCGAATTCGGCACAGTTTGGGGGGGTTTTTAGGGCTCCCCTCAATCGCTTGAGGTTCAGGCCTGTTGAAGACTGCACCACACCAAAGGCGCCCTTTTCATCCCAAGACCCGCAAGCCACTCCCTGAACCTTGAGAATGTCTGTTTAGGGGTTCAGGGTTTAGGGTTTAGGGTTTAGGGCCAGGGCGTGAAGGAAATATGCACTTGAGACAGTTGGGCTCTGCATCTTGCATATGGGATCGCAGATTCCGCCGAACCACATTCCACTGATCTCACAAAACACTCCGAAACCCTACACGGCAGACGCTACAAACCCCAGCAAAATCTGTCCTTCAAGGTGCTGCTGCAAGGCTTGCAATTTTACGGTGTGCTGAAATTCTCTGGGCCGCAGTTCAAGGGGCAAAATCGCTACGAATAGTGACCTCTGCACGATCACAGGGAGAGCGAAAAGAGTCCCAGAGTTCCACCTGGCTATCCTGTTCTTGCAAGGCTTGCGGGATTGTTTGCAAGTTGAGCTGCGGCTAGACTTTTTAGCCACAGCACCCCAGGCTGTCACTCCGCCCCCCTGGAGCATTCTTCGGGACTTTCACGTTTTTTACAATTTTCAAGTCTCTGGCCATCTCAAAGTGTTAGAACAGCAGCTTGCTTACAAGATAGTCAGGACAAGTTTCGGGCTCAGCCTTGCGCTGAGGATACTCTCGCGACTACCAAGTCTTCATGCAGCATGAACCCAGGAACTGCGAAGAAAGAGGGAATCTATGGAACGGACCGTAGCGAGCTTTGTAAGGGCTCGAGGAGTGTTTAGGCCCCAAGGTTAGGAAACCTTTCCACTGAGCAGGAATCGTAGCTGCTAGTTTGACGCTCGCGTGTGCAGGGTAGGATGTCGGTACTCGGGCAGCATGCTCCCAAACCCACTTGAATCCTGAAGCGGGGCTCCGTTGCGCCTTGCATGCAATCGTTCCAGTCCGCATACATCATGTTCTCTGGAGCAGTCGATCCGTCTCCTCCCGGTGCGTTGCCATTCTGGGTGGTTCCGGGGCGGGGGAAGGGGACTTGCAAGCCTAAAACCCCACAGGATAGATACGGGAGATTGTAAGCTTTGGATTGGCAAAACCGTATGAACAAGAAACGGCCCACGAAGGAACCAAAAATTCACATCGTGGTGCCATGAGATCCTGAGACAATATGACAGCTTGCCAAATTATGCAAACTTCGGCAGAGCAACAGAGGACTACCAGCAAAGGGGGAACAGTAGCAGCAAACCTCCAAGACTGTGCAGTTGAAAACTTGGTACGAAAGAAACCAACCACGCGTTGTGAGCGAAGTTCAAGCCTTAGAGCCCACTCCGCATTGAAGCCCCACTTGAGACCAGACTTCAATCATCAGTGGAAGTAAGCTACAGCATAAGCGAACTGAAACACCTGACCGCATGATTACAAAGTCCTTGGTGTACCCGGAAAACTAGCTCCTACCCCTCAACACCTCGATCAAACAAATATCCCAAAACCCCAAACACTCTGCCTCCACCCCACTGACCAAAGATGCCACCGGCAGTCTTGGCCACTTCGCAGGGGTGGTATGAATCCAGTTCTTGCTCCTCAAGGGGACTTTTGCGTTGACCTTCCTAGTGCTCGTGGATGCTTACGAGGGATTCAATGGAAAGTTTCAATGGCCCTGTATGGGGCAACTTCGTGGGGATCGCTATCAATCGAGTCCTACTCCCATGGCACCGGAGGGTATGGGCTCTGCCTTGCGATTCAAGCTCTTCTGTCCCCGGTGGTGGCAGCGGTCGTTCTATTGGCCGGGCGGCGGTGTCATCGGGGCCGGTGAATGCGCTGTCCCAATGTTGGTGTTCTTTTGTTGCTGATGATGGTGAACGGTGGTGATTTCGGTCAGCGCTGGCGGTGGAGCAGCTGTAGTAGTGCCCCCCACAACGAAGATGACGAATTGCATATGCATGCTTCTGCAGATCGAGACTAGCGACACGTTTCCAATACTGAGCCATGAATTCTGCTGGCATACTCGCATCTTCCATAACACTGGAGACGAAGGCAAGTAGTTAAATACTCCCAAAATCTCCCAAACCTACACTAAATTTCACGCCAGTAATTACACATGTGCAGCATAGGTGTATGTGTCGAAGCACCCAGACCGCATCAAAGGATCTGCACCTCAGGAGCCCAAGCACGAGCCCCCCCCCCCCCAATTTACCGCACCCCAAACTCCTGAGCATCTCAGTTGCACAGGGCCTGTGATCCAGAGCTCAAGTGCAAAGCCGCACGAGAAGCCTACACAGAGCACGCTCGAATGGGTCCTTCGTGGAGGGATCCGCCTCCAACTTTGATGTTGTCTGCACTTCCTCGTCCTTCGAAACAAGCTGGAATCCTAAACGACCCGCCTACTCGCGAAAATGTCAGAGCACGCCCTCAGCCCTGCTACGACCAGCTTGGGTGGCTTTGCGGTGCCTTCGAAAGAGTTTGGATGCAACGCTCTCATCCCCAAACCCTCGGCGAAGCTTGGAGTTCATGGTGGAATGGTTTGCTCCAGCCCCGTCCGGACAAGAAAAATATCATTGGATTCACGGTGCAGGTTGGGGGGTTCACACTTTCTCAGGCTGGACCGGCGAAGTAAGACGACTGTGTCTGAAAGGGAGGCGCAAACTGTCACTCGGAACACATCTACGCATGTAACAACTGCACGACCGAGTGGAATCTGTAGTAAAATCCTACTCGCAGTGCCCAATGAGCCATGGATGAATATGTGGGTTCGGAAACAGAGATCGGAGAGATTCTCACTGTATTGGGTAGAAAGCTCAAGCTTCGGATATCTTCGGATCCGCCCTCCCGACAACCGTCAAGAACCCTTTTGAAGCAGACTCTGCCTTAAAGTGATTCTGAACTTCTGTGGGCGTAGCTGAGCTAAAGTCTGCACTCCTATTATCCCTCTTAAAGTAGTCCCCTTTATAGTCCCGTTAAGGAGCTTTAGGCTATGGCCTAGATGGCTTTGGGGCGGCACCGTTTCGGAGGCGAGTGAAACCCTTGGGGACGGGCCTCCTCGTCTTTGAACGTCTCCGAGACGTCCTCGGGTCAACTCTGAGGGTTTTAGGGTTTAGGGTTTGCTTCAAAGCATCTGTTTTTGCTCTCTTGCCTCTGATAGCCCCCCTCCTGCATCCCGAAGTGCCGATGCGAATGCATTTCTTTGAGGGATCTGCGAATTGGCTTCGCGAATGCAACAAACCACTGTGCCCAGACTGTGCTGTCGAGCATATTCGTGAGCTACACCGGGCCCAGTATGGCCCAGTGTGCAACTAGGTTCCGGGCTCAGGCGTGGAAGCACCTCCCGTGAAATACTGAAAGCCTGGACGGCTTGGCAGGGAACCTTCCAGAGGTTCTCGTAGTTCAGGCACTCCGCAGCGTACTTCGGCTGCTGTGCTTTGAACTCCTGGTTCTCGCGCGTTTCAGGGGCGGTTTAGGGTTTAGGGTTTAGGGGATGGAGTGTACGATTGGAGCTTGACAGGCCTCTGCGCAGGGGGATGTTATAGCATTCCGCAAGCGCAGATTCACGGAGCCAGGGACGCGGTCGTGGATTTCGGGGGCTTGGGTGTTCCTTTTTACCATTGTGCCACTGTAGGAGTTGAAGGGTGCTCGTGGAGGATCATCGTTTAACCTCAACGGGAATCGTTTCGGAGCCGTCAATATGGCACACATGCGAAGCTTACTTACGTAAGTCGGTAAGCACCATTCAGGCCTGTGTTCTGAGCCCTCGTGTCTGGGACGCTCACCAGCTGATGCAAGGGCCTTAATCATTAGAATAGGGTTTTGCGGGTATCTTCTACTATAGTTATAAGAAGGAATCCCCAAAATAGTATTGGTACTAAAATTGTAGTAAGGCCCCCTATACTTAATTTGGGAATCTCCGTGGATTTTACCTTCCCAGAAAGCTCCCAACTCCTGAGTCTCCCCCGGAGCCCGAGCAACTTTGCAGCTTACTCTGACACTCATCTATTCTCAGATTTAGGGATGAGGCTAAGGGTTTAGGGTTTATAGGGTTAAGGGTTTAGGCTTAGGGTTTAGGGTTTACGTGGCAAGGCCCCTAAGCTCATTCTTGGCGCCTCTTGAAGTATCTCACTCCCTCCTCGACCCACAATCCTCCGGCTAGAAACCCTAAACCCTAAACCCTAAGTCGTTCGAGAAATCCGGACAGCCTCCAGCTCGGGCATTGGTGGCTGAGGAGGGCGTCGCGGAGGCTTCATGCGCAAGGCCTCCATCATCCGAAAGCCATTAGGGTTTAGGGTTTTTTGTTTTCTTTTCTGAGGGCCTTTTGGGGTTTAGGGTATTAAATTAGGGTTTAGGGCTTTTTGGTGGCTTCTTGGGGAAGTGCTCTGTGCAGGCTCAGAGAGGTATAGATGGCTTTATGACGATGTCGGGTCTCCGATACCCGCACTCCCAAGCCCCTGCGAACTGCTGAACACCACGTAAAACCTCCAACTGGGTTCTTGTTAAAGGATTTAATTTAAGCTACCATAGTAGAGAACCCATATTATTTATATTATTTACTATAGATCCCGACTATGGTAAGTTAAATAAAACCCCTAGCAAGAGCCCAGCCAAACCTTTTTGCACAAAATTGGAGCTTGCCGGGCCGGATTCCCCACAGCACAGCGCACTCGTGCAAACCTAACCCCCTGCCCTCTCCCCCAAACTAACACCCAACAGCCCCGTTTGGTTGGGGGGATATGTTCCCCTAAAGCCCCTAAACCCAAACCCTAAACCCTAAACCCCTAAACCCCTAAACCCTAAACCCCTAAACCCTACACCCTAAACCCCTAACGCCTAAATCCCAAACCCATCTTCGGGATGGCTCTGAAGCTCTGCCCAGGAGTTCTGCGTTGCCTCCTCGGGACTCCCGAGGCCTTCGAGCGGAATCTTGAGATGCGTGCCCAGACCCTCCCAATCTCCCTTAATTCAGGAATATTCCGTAAAGTTTGGTAGGATCATAGGATCTCTAATATGATTTCAGATGTACTCCGTAATTAAGGGAAAAGGGAAGGTTTGGCTTACTCAGAGATCTGATTTCAGGCGTTGCCTACACCAGCTGGACAAAACAGAGCGAACAAGCGAAATGTGGGGATCGGTGTTAAGCTCGGGTTTAGGGTTTAGCCGAAGAGCCCAAACGACGAAGGACTACTTCCGAAATTCTACGAAGGTTTGCTGTGCAGCGTTCCCAAAGACCCGCACCCTAAGACCCCAAACCTGAAACCCGAAACCATCGCCCATCAAACGTAACCCTCGACCCTATCAACCCCCAAAACCGTATAAACCCAATAGAGCTATGAGTCATACTGTTGATGTATAAATCCTGCATTGCCTGAAGGACCCTAAACTATGGGAATTATGGTATACTCCTTATTGTTATGGGTAGCGCAGGATCGAAAAAAAAAAAAACCGTGGCTCCATAGGCTCTATAGGGTTTACACGCTTTTGGGGCCATGTGTCATTAAACAAAAACCTTTGCAGACTTCAAAGTTTCGACCCGTCAGTTCAGACTCTGAGCACCCGCCGGCCTGGCCTCCGCCAAGGACAAAGCCTCGCTTCGGTTGGGGTTTAGGGTTTTTTTTGTTTAAGGGCCCTTTTCGTTGCTCTGCGCGTCGAAGCCCCATCTTGGGGCAGGCTAGGTTTAGCAGCAGCAGGCTCAGACCTCACCCACCACCTCGTAGGATGAACATGTAATCATCAGCTGACTCATGCGCAGAGCTCTCCTCAATCGATCAGACCCCTGAATCCTTCACTGTTACTTGCCAGCACTGTCCTCGGTGTCATTGAGATCCAAGACCCTTTGCCCTTTCTTGAGCTCGTGACCCCATTGCCCTCCGTCCTCCGTGTTGGTTCTGTCCAGTTGTGTCTGTCCCAACTCCATCTCTGCTGTTGAACCCCCCAACGACGAGGTACCAGGAAGTGCCTGAAGGGTGTCGCCCGGAATGCCCTCTCTGGTCACCTGGTACAGGAAGAGGATGTCTGCCCCGAAGATCCGCTCAACCCCGGCATCTGTAATTTCCCCAGCTTTCCAAGCCTCATAGGTCCTTTGGTAGGTGGGCCCATTCATGTCCACGGTGAGCCCCGCTTGACCGGAGAGGACAGCGGCATCGGAGTGTGGTTCCTCAGGTTGGTTCTCCACTCGCACTGTGAAGCTGAACTGGTCCATCCTGGTTTCACGAGGGAGGGTGACAGCAGCCGTGACCGATTGCCCAGTGCTTGTACTGCTTCCCGGCGAGGACACCACCAAGCGTCGCCGTTTGGGTACTGTGGGCGTGTGAAGAACAACCCACTGTTCCCAGTCTCTAAACTGGCTTGCCTCATACTCCGCGAGTCTGCTCTCATCTGCCCGACGTTGTGCAGCTTCCTCTTCTTCATGCTTCATCTGCTCGGCTTCTTCCTCCTCCTTTTCTTTCTCTAGCTCTTGCCGTTCGTCTTCCCATTGTTGTACCTGTTGGTCCGAGTGTCCAAGCCGATGTCGAGGAGCTGGTGCAGGTAGGTCCTGGCTCGATCGGCCCCTTTCGTCGTCAGCACCCAGGTCCATGTGTTCCTTCAAACGAGCCCACCAGGTCTCCATTCTCTCCATTTCATTCTCTTCCGTCTCACATACCTCCGGCATGGAGTCCGTAAGGCTCGTTGTAGCTGCCACGAGCGCAGCCTGGAGCTGGGCTCCCCGAGACGTTTGAAGATACAAGCTGGCGCCGATCCTTCTGAGCAGCCCCTTGAGCAGGTTGCCATTCGTCTGGTCTTCTCCAAGGTTCACCAAGTCCTGCAAGAGGCTGCCCCACCTGTTTCCTACCTTCATGTTCACATACTTTTGCATGTAGATACTCTCGTCGTCATCCCCTTCTTCCTCCACTTCTATCTCCACTTCTTCTTCATCGTGTCGTCGTCTCTCGTCCTGGGTGGTGATGATGATGCGCGCAAGCTCGATGTACATCATCCCCATTAATCGCATAAGCCCTTGTACCATTGTTTGGAGATCACGTTCACTGAGTCGGCGGAGGGCTGTTTTTGCTGAGTTCTGTGCCTGTTTTGTGAGGGCATTCGAGGGCTCAAGTTGTTCTTCCCCTGGTCGCCTTAGTCCGGTAATAACCATCCATTGCCCTGTTGCTTGTATGATGTCAAGTTCTCCTCCTGACCCCGATGAGGCCGGCCCTCTGGTACTTGAAGGCGGTCTTGAGCCGGATGCCCCGGGCGTCCTTGTGTCATTGGCTCCCCGAGTCCAATCAGCACATTCTCTTGGGGCCAGCGTCCTTGTCTCTCTGGTAATTCTTGCCTGCACTCTCTGTTCCCTATTGCTGGGTCCATCCCCTCTGTGTTCTCTGAAACGGTCTCGGTCATGTCGGGTCCTTCTCCGTGATCTTCTCCTTCGTTCTCCTGACCCTGTCCCTCTGTCGCCCCAATAATTGTGCATTAGCGAGACTGAGTCGCCCGTGTCGCCCCCAGCATCCTGGTCTCCCCTGGTTGCCTGCACACTTCTCGGGGATCGGTTACTGGGTGTTCTCCGAGGGCTGCAACTTCATCCTCATTCCTCCCAAGGGCCTTCCATGCCTGCCCATCTTCTCCATGCCTGTAGCTCATTTGCAGGCATTGTGGGCGTGCCCCTGTGCCTCTGGACCTGTTCGGTTTCGAAGCCGCTCATTGCCTCGAAGAAGTCCACGAACTGTTGCCACAGTTCTTCTTCCACCCATACGTAGAACGGCGTCGGTCCTGGCAGGCAGCGGGCACTGGCATCCACATCAACCTCTAGCCCCAAGTCCTCTATATAATCCGGGAACTGTTCCATGTAGTGCTGGCTTGCCCTGTTCTCCATGAGGTAGAACAGTGTGCTCGCTTGCTCTCGGACTGTGACACCTTCTCCTCTCTGTCGAAGCAGGTGTTCGCGTAGTAGGCTCCTTATCGGGTCGGTGTGGTCCATTCCTTGACCCGGCACGAGAGTTGCCCCCAGTAGGGCAGCCTTGGAGTACATGGTCAGGAGCACCGGGTCGTCCGTGTCCTCATGGTTGGCGGGTTCTTGCTTGTTCTGGTCCGTCTTGTTGGTGCCCATCAGCGTCTCCCCAGGCTTGAATGAGCAGATCCGTTGCCTCTTTACCATGATCTTGAAGGAGCTGTGGGTAGGTCAGCTCACCACGGTTCCAAGAGTCACGTAGTCTTTGGACCTCATCCTGTGAGAGGCCGAGCTCCCCCAAGCGACCCGGCGCACTCAAGTCCGCCCGGGTTGGTCCCCGTCTCGGCCTCCTCTGTGTCAGACCCCGTGTCCCGCATGAAGGCGAAGCTAAGTCTCACTTCTCCTCTTTCGTTGTCCATTGGCACCGGAACCCTCATCCGACTGCTGTGTGTCGGGCAGTCCCTGGAACCTGTACTGATCTCCACCTCCAATTCACATCTTCGTCGTACATTTCGAGCCTCTGCTTCAGGCGTTGCCACGGGTGTCATTGGAGGTGTCAGGAATTCCGAGGGCACCTCCCGATTCGAGAGCATGATTAGTGGGCTCTCGTTTCCCACTCGTCTCCCCTCGGCCCTCGGTGAGCCCGGGTGCATCTCGACGAAGTGCGTAGCCTCATTCCATATACCCTCCATTTCTTCCGGGGTTTCCTCTGCTGGGTCATACTCTGTCTCGTCCTTGAACGCCACAAGCACTGCGAGGAGCTCAGCAGTACGCCCCTTCATGTGCCCAAGCAGGTAGCCATCTCTCCGGTTGGTGGCATGCCACTCAAGTCTGCAGAGCATTCCGTGTATAACTGCTGCTCTCTTGATCTTCGCCATGTTCTCAAGTGACACTCGCAAGCCTCGGAGAAAAGCGTACCAAGCCGGGTTGTCGATATAGGTCTGCATGAACCCTTCAACTTCACTCTCGATGTTCACGTTCTTCTCTCCATCAGGTCCCTTATGGTACACCGTCTTCTGTGCGGTGTGAGAAGATTCCCCGAAGAATTTGTCCTGGCGGTTCTTTGTGTCAGCACTTTTGCTTCTCTGAACTTCGTCCCTGTCGTCCTTGGGGTCATCGTGGTCGTGGTCGGGGTGTGAATCTGGTCCGTGAGGGACACCTTGGTGCACTGCATCTTGTTCATCTCCACGAGTTGTGAGCTGATTCGAAAAGAAAGTGGCGTAGGCGCCAAACTTGTGGTCGATATGTAGGTGGCCATCAGGCGGGGGGACCGCGGCAAAGCAGAATGCAGTCGCAGTCAATCCCAACCCGTAGGCGAAACGCATCATGGATGTCATCACTCGGGGAACGCTAGGTTTTGAACCTCCGGGTGGCTGCTGAGCACTCAGGCTTGGCCTTCACAAGCCTCACAGCAACTGAAGGAGTCTGCATTCCACTTCGCCTCACATCCACAAGCCCTCCGAAAAGTAATGTTCATCTGCGGTGAAATCTCTCTGGATCAAACTAGTCCTTGTCCTCTGTTGCCCTGTCCGTACTCAGTGTTCTTGCTAAACCCTGACGACATGAGCTCAAGGCGCCTCGTCGACCAGGCTGAGCTGTCGGAGACTCGCCCACGGGAGGTCCTTCTGCACAATCCAAGCCGTGAGCAATTCTTTCCAACCCTGCCTGTCATACGTTTTCTCCCTCCACGGTCCGCCTGCTACCCTGTCCATGTCCCTTTCCATGTTCATGAGTTTCGGGTAGATGTGTCCTGGGTGTTTGACTCCTGTAGGGCTGCTTTGCTGTAACTGCCACCATGTCCGAGTGCGGTAAGCGTCTATCTGGGTGGCTGCATTGACTGTTTCGCGCATGTTGCATCGTGTCCTATGTCCCGAATACTGCCACCAGCGTTCTAGCCAGAGGGTTGACCATCGCTTTTTCGAGTATTTGTGGACAACTGCTCTCGCCCCACGAAATGCTCGTTCCCTGAAATGGACCCATCCCTCCTCTGGCTTCTTCGCGACACGCATGATCCATATGCACATCTGGAGTTGTAGTGTGTTGACTAGACCCAAGCTGGAAGAGTCCATTGGCAGGGCAGCAAGTGGCCAAAGGACAGTGCCCCCTAGGACCCGCTCCATGAGTCTAACCCTTCCACCCACCGGTGTCTTGGCTCTGAGCAAATGACGAAGTCCACCCCAGAATTTCGCCCTGGCCTTTGCGATGAGGGGGGCAATCATTTCCGAGGGTGTGGCTCCCACACGGTAAGAAAGACCCAAGATCTTCAGCTCGTCTGCCGCATGAAGCAATTCCCCTTGTACCCTGATAGTCCTCTTCCCTGTGTGGTAGGGCGACACGTACAACTGGCACTTCTTTGCATTGATGCTCAGGCCGAATTCTTGTAAGACAACTCCCCACTGCGCAACCCTTTTCTCGATCCCCTGAATCCCTTGACTCCACATCAAACCATCGTCCATGTAGAGAAGGTTATTGAGATCCAGTCCTTCGAAGGCATTCGCAGTCTTGTGCCACTCGTAGCGGTCTGAGGCCTCGTGTAGGCAGGTTTCTGCCAGAAAGCTAAAGAATGCCGGAGACTCAATGGCACCTTGCTTGACACCATCATGCATGTTGATGACTGTACTGTCCCAGTCAGTCTGAAGAATGGCATCAGTATTCCTGAGCAAGTTGTACCAACATCTGTACTCCGGGCACATACCCATCCTCTGCAGAAGTCGGTCTGTTAGCACTCGTCTGTCAACCCTGTCAAATGCCTTGGCAAGGTCAACCTTAAGCCAACACACCCCTCGCTTCCACTCCTGCTCGAGTTGGACCAGCCTGGAAACAACGAACACGAAATCGCAGCACTGGCGTCCTTTGCCACTGCACTGTTCCGGACCCTTGATTCTAATCTTGGGTTCGGTTCTGGCAAGGAGCATTCTCGCGAAGACCTTCGCGACGGCGCTGCCCATAGCCAACGGTCGTAGCTCCCCTGGATCCGTGGGCATTGCAACTTTAGGAATCACCACCATGAGGACCCTGTTCCAATCGCTCGGGATCTCTGCTGTACACAAGACCTGGTTGTAAAACTCAAGCAGGTGAGAGAGTCCCCCCGGCGTGTTGCAAATTCCTTGGAGCAGTTCGTGACTGGTGAGATCAACCCCGACAGCCTTGCCTGTGCCACCCGCCGCCATCGCTGCCTTGAGCTCCTCTTCCGTGAATGCCTGTGCATCCCCTTGCCAAGGTGGGAGTTCAGGAAGCACCCTGCCGGTCTGGTAGATGGAGCTGAGGTGACGATGGATGCTGTCATGTGCTTTGCCCTCTTGTTGGTTTTCAGCATAATGGGTGTCCCATCCTACATTTCGCTGCATTCTCAACTTTCTCACCTGTGCCCAATCCCCCTCTGTTGCCTGCCGTATGCGGTCGCTTTCCCATTTCTTTCGGGCCTTTTTTCTGAGATTCTGAACCGTCTTCCACCCTTCTCTGTCTGCTTCTCGTCTTGCTCTCTGCACTGCTTCCTTCACCTGAGGAGGATCTCTATAGCTTGCCCCTGGCTTCGGCTTTGTGCACTTGCGAGCAAGGTCTTTGAGGACATTCTGATCAATGTGTTCGATGTGACTTGGTCCCCCTTTCCAAACCCTGGGTCTGGTACTGTGTAGCCGACGTTTCCCTTCTGCTCGGAGTCGTATCTTGACCTGCAAGGCTTCATGATCTGTGCCCAGGCTCCTGTGACTATCCTGAAGGATCTCCAGCTGTGGCACCATCACCCCTTTGATGCAAAGACAGTCGATCTGCTTACCCAGCCTGCCCTCCTGCCTTGGCCTGCTCGTTGGCGTGTCGAACTGCGAGTAGGCCGGGGCTGCAAGTCGGAACCCTCTGGTAGCAGTCGCATCTAGGAGGCCCACTGTTTTGCCATCCCTACCAAAAGGACGCGAATCGCCCTCCTCCGTCTGTTCCCACTTAATCTGTGGATTTACGTCGCTGGCGAGGATAACCGGGAGTGTGGTAGGTTTCAACTTCGAGAGGTGTTCTTCAACGGCAGCCCTGTGAACTACTTGTGTGCAGCCCGGGTCAAAGTGCGCGGTGCCAACCCAGAACTCGTTGGAGAAGGTGGCATGTCTTATCCTGAACCAAGTACCCCTCCCCGAAGCGAGTCTGCGAACAATTTTCCAGCTGGAACTTCTGTAAAGGAGCCCCGTCCCTCGCCACACATCTTCATGGCGATGAGTCTGAGCCGTCCAGCCTTGGTGCTGCTCACTGTGCCACCCCGCTTCACGGCGAGGCACTTCCTGAAGAAGGTACAGGGTGTCATCTTGCCCTGGCACCCCTAGATCATGCAGCGCCTGTGGCGCAGCAAGCTCATCGCAACCCCCTATGTTCCATGCTCTTATAGAGAAGTCCCAAAGCGGAGAAGGCGAGGAGGTAGAAACCATGCTGTGCTGTGTCTCTGCCAGCACTTCCTCATTCTCTGATCAGCGTTTGTGCAACTCCAAGGCTTTCTTCAAGTCCTTAGCATGCAGTTTCGATTCCTTAGCCAAGGCTCCCATGTCAACCCACACTGAGTGCCCTTCATTCTCCTCCCGGAGGATGCCCTTCTCGTCACACCCCGGTGGTGTGGGCTTGGTGGCTGAGGCAACCATGGAGGATCCGTACCAGCATGTTCCCGAACTGTACTCAACATCAAACTGTTCGATGTGCTGCTGGCCGAGGCTTGCCAAGGATCTCTTCACCCACCCTGCATGATTGGCTATGGACCGCTCCGATCTGCTTTTTGAATACGTGGCGAACATCTTTTTTCCGTTCGGTGGAACCTGAACAGCACTGCTTGCCAACCCTAAGATGACGGTGTGCATTCTTTTCCTTGCGGCAAACTCCGTCTCGCCTTCGCGAACCTCAAAGGTGGACATAGCTGTGCTACGCCTTGGTCCAGTGCAGAACGGCGCACTGTCTAGCAGGCAGCGAAGATTGAGCTGTTCGAGGGCTTCGTCGAGCTGCTGCAGTATGGTACTTTTCCGCGTCTCCCGCTCCCACCCTCCATACACCAGGGTCATTCGACGGTCGACTTCCGCTCCGCCCCTGGCCCTTTCGCCTCGAAGTGCCTGGTTGAGCTGCTCCTGCATTTGCACCATCCGCTCCTCGACTGCTCGAACTCGTGTGTCCATCTGATCTGTCTTCTGTTCAACCTTCTCGATCTTTGCATTGGTCTTTTGTTCGAAAAGCCCCATCATCCCGTCAAGATTGTCTTTCTGTGCACGCATGATCTTTTCGGCATGTTGCTCCAAGAGTCTCTCCATCTGGCTGAGGTCCAGAACCGGCTCGACGCCTGTTTTTGCTGCCGACCCTCTGCCCCTGCGCTTGGGAGGCCTCTCACTAGGCATCTCTCGCCCCCTCTTGGGCGACACACCATCCTCTGACATGCTCTCCGCCTCACTTTCCAGGTCCCCATCATCAGGGATCGCCTTGCTCGCCCCGCTGCCCTCCGGCTTGGCTTTGACCCCGCTCCCATCAGAGAAGACCACCTTCGGCACCTGACCTTGCTTGTTCGCCATGGTCTCTAAAGCCTGAACCGCTCTCTCTCGCTGAAGTCTACAAGTAGTCCCTGATCGCACCCTGGGCCGACACCTGGTGGCTCAAGTCCCGCCGAGCGTGACCTCCGCCCGGCTGATCGCAACCCGGGACACGATCTCCTCGCTGGCCCTCCACGAGCGCCAAGCACCCTTTCAACGGAGCAACACCCTAGGGGGAAAACACAGACCCAGCGAACCCTCGGCCTTGAGCCAAAATGGCTTGAGCCAGGGTTTAGGGCTTAGGGTTTAGGGTTTAGGGTTTAGGGGGTGTCGCTACGGTGCAGAGCCACTATGGCATAGGGTGTACATGTGGGTAGTTCTCTAAATTAGGGTCCCTTTTAGGGTCCCTTTTTATATAAGGGTGCCGTACTATATTGCAGAATTAAAAAGGGCTCCTAACTTGGAAAACTACCCATATGCTTAACATCTTAGGGTCCATACGAGCTCAGGGTTTAGAGCTCGCGGTTTTAGAGCTCATAGAGTTTGAGACTAGGGTTCAGAACATGAGGGACTCGGCAGGATGGAAACTTGCTATGACTTCTCAGCCCCAAGCACTTCTGAAATGCAAACGAAACGGAGCACGTTTCGGGAGGCAGCTCGGGGTGCAGGGCTTCAGGCCAGACTTTGGGGAGCTGCCTGGTGGAATGTAAGGCAGCTAGAAATGAGCTTGAAGACTTGTCCCAGGACCTATCTTGAAATATAAGCTGTTGGGCGTGTTAGAAAGTCTGATTTTATCACCGTAGTCCTCGAAGATCTCATTCGCGTGTCCTCCTTGCTTTTTCGACTGTATATCCACCTTTCAGAGAGTGCCTCCTACAATCCTGGTCATGCCCTTCGTGCAAACGCTACCCTGTCTTGTCGATGTCTTCCTCGGCTCATCCAGGGACAAACAGAAGGATTCAGCATGCATGCGACTAGCCGCATCATTCTAAGCCCCGAAGATGGGCAACGAGACTCCCTCCTCCACAACAACGTAAACAGCTGCTATCCGGTCGCTAACCTCCAGGCCTCAACCGCGCGACGTTGAAAGAGCCCAAAACCAACCCTCACTCTCCCAAAGTCCTTCAGCCCTGAGTAGCTCTGCTCTCGACCCTCGACCCTGTGTGCCAAAATCCTGCCTTATTCTTCTCTTTGGGCATCTGCCCGAGGAACTCGCCGTCGAAATCGCTCACATTTACCACTTCGAAGGCAGCACCTGTGCGACAGCCGGTGGTTCTCGACCTGTCTTCATCTGCGTACCTAGGACGTTCTCAAGCCAAGGAAACCGACATGATCACACGGTGGCGGTATGAAGATGGTTTGGACAAGGCCCTTGAACCCCAAATCCCTGAACTTCTGACAGCTCCTCAACCCCGAGCCGACTCCCCGAAGCCTTTGATTCCCAGGGGAGATGCGCTGTCTGTGACGTCCGAGCACTCGGAATCCAGGCACCATTGGCCTGAGCACTCAGTCTGTTCGATTGCGATTTCCGGTTGACTCTGTCGGGCTTACGGTGTTGTTTATGAGTTATAAGATCCTTATACGGCTTGATGGCTTGAGGGTGACAACCTGTACAACGGAGCACTGACAACACTGCGGCTCGGACAGTGGCCTTCTGCAGCTACTGTCGCCCCCTCGAATATCCCGAGTAGTTTCCAAGCAGACCTAAGCAGGAAGCTGCGAAACGGAGGCCTCGAAACCAGAGACCACACAACGAGCCTTCCCAAGCCCCCTAATTCTGATTCTCCCTCAAGCCCCAAACCCCAAAACTCCCAAAACACGAAAGCCACCACAACCCTACGGACATTGACCCTACGTCCTGCCACGGCGACTGTACACCTTTGGACGGCAGGGAACCGGATTTGCGCTCGAAAGACAAGGTGAGCCCAGATCCACTTTCCTCGCGCAAGTGAGGGCATGCGAGGCTTCAAAAGCCTTAATGGCATCTTTAGGTTCAGGGTTTAGGGTTTGGGGGCTTTGAGCCTTAAGGGATTGCCAGATTAGGGGCTCTGGGCTTTACGGTGTAGGCTCCTATGCGTTCTTCTCTCACTGTTTCGGGCACTAGGGATTGGGGGTTCAGGGCAAGAGTTCAGGGTCTTGACAGCATGTCGGGCACATGATGTCAGTGCTGGGGAATTTACTGTGGGTTTGCGGGTCTGGGGCACATGTACTGCACAGGCCCCGACCGCATCGCCGATGCCTTAAACGGTCAACCAATCCCAAGGATATTCTGACGACACACCTGATTAACTTACTGTTTAACAGGCGCTAGTCCGTCGTCGTCGTCGTCGTCGTCGTCGTCGTCGGGAATGGCGGTAAACAGAAGAGGGCTGTAGGCGTGGCTTCAACTGCAAGTTCAGTCGTATCTTTGCGTCGAAGGAGGACAGGAAGGCCAGATCCTGGACATGTGGGAGCACAGCAGCAGCAGTAGCACTAAGTAGCACTAAGTAGCAGCAGCAGTACTGCGACACGGTGGATTGCACTGAATTGATTACAGTAGCAGCTGCAGGAGTTCTGATCTCAGCCAAGGCTCAAACTTCACCCGACCGCTGTGAGCATCACGGCTGCTCGGGCAATAGATGCCGTCGTAGCGGCCTCACTGAGGTAACCGCAAGCCTACTCGCTACTGGGCCATGCATACCGATACCCCAAGCCAAGAACGCCCAGAACTGCTTTGGGTTTTATCGGCTCTGCTTGGTCTTCCGGGTGCTGGCTGCATTGCCGGGGTAGAAAAACCCATGCTATCCCATGCTGCAACCTGATCGGATGACGACAAGGAGGGCATGCAACCGTTACGACAGGTCTCGCCTTGGATGGATCTGCAGATGATCTCTCGTTCTCAGACAGTATGAAGTTTTCCTTTCTTTCGACTTCCGTTTGGTCTACAGTCTTGCTCCCATGGCTTTGCTGCTGATGCTGCTCTTGATACTGTCTTCGTGACGCTCGATGCCACTGCTGGCCTCAGACCCGAAGAAAAGGAAACCCACTTGTCCAGTATCCTAGGGGAGCTAAATCTAAAGGTCAACATTTGGGATTGTAATTATAGGGGTCAGAATACTCTAAGCAGGTTACAAAGGTGACCTACTCCCTAAACCCTAAACCCTACCTACTTGGAGGTTCATGGGTAGTTATAAGTGGGGTTGTCAGTCCCACATAACATGGGTTATAAGTATAGTTACCCCACTTATAACCCCATTTACAACTACCCATAAACCCCAAGTGCTCCACCACTACAAAAAGGAGAGATTTGGCCAAGGCCACCCACCAGCTCGGGCAGTTGCCCGCGCGGGTCGAAGCTCATAGGTGCCCCACCGGCTTTACAGCACTGGTAACCTGACCCGGGGCGGGGTCCCTTCTTGTGGGCTTTTATAAGGCTCCTACAAGGGTTTCTATAAGGGGTAGAAGCGCCTCGAGGGCTTCTTAAGATAGAAGTCTCTGCGGTCTGTGACTTGGGGTTTAGAGTTTGGGGCTGGTGTTGTTTTGTCCAGGATCGCTTGAGCTTTAGGCCCTTCTCGGTGCATGCCTCTTTTGCTTAGAGTTGTGCGGGATCTGCTGCTTGGAGTCTTGAGTCTTGATAGGGCCCGCTAAGGGACTGGAGAGTCTACGTGTTAATTACTCGGGATTCAGGGCTTTGCAAGCCGGAACTAAGGTGCGGAAGTGTTTCGGTTGAGGCAAGCAAGACCCTAAGCTCATGCACACCCTAACACAATCTAACATAGTCTGGAAGTGCCCGAAATCCCTGAGTTCAGTCGAGTTTCGCACGCGACCCCACTTCCCCCCCTCAGAGAACTCGAAATGGAAGCTGCCCAGCACGGCATTCTGCCCACAGCTCACCGGCATCATCCGGATCGGCTTCGCCCTCAGCTGACGAGGAGTCACCCAATAATCCGGAATTCAGAAGGGCCTTCAACCTTACAGTGCCCGGTGATCCACTGCAGAAGCACCTAAAAACCCCAAACTCTCAAAAGCTTCAAACCGTCCCCGGGCCTCCTCTCTCCTGGTATCATAATATCAAGGAGCCCCCAAAATAGTATTGGTAACTATCTAGGCCCCTGCATTAGACAACAGAACATCCCAGGAAGACGCGGGGTCACACGGTGTCAGGGCCCAAGAGTGGGCCTCATACAGCGATGCTTTTCGGGCGAAGGGATTCCTAAGGGTTCAGTTTCGGGGCCTCAAAAACTACAACGGGATTTATGGGGGTAGGTTGCCGTATCATTTTAGGACGGACTGGGGCATATTGGCATTATTACGACTATCAGCGTTGCTAGCATCGGTACTACTTGTTCAGGCTCATGTAAACGCCTACATTGAAGTTCCCGGAACAACCCACAAAGCCCAGCACAGCCTTCGGAGAACCAAAAGAAAGACATAAACGAAGTCGAAAACTCAGGGGTCCTTCTTTTGTGGAACGACCCGAACCAGAAGACCTTGACGCGTTGACCTCTAGTCCTGGAATCTGGAAGCAAGCCAAGATCTACATTTGCTAATAAATATCATAATCCTCAAACAAAAAGCCTTACCCTTTAAGTCGAGGTGCCAGTGGTTGATCGATTGGCTGAAGCCTCGCTGACTTCGGGCTTAACGCGCTTGAGGGTGATTCAACTGGAGTCTCAACCACGAAGGATGTGCGACAATCTGTTTTCGTGCGGAACTCTCCGGTCTGTGTGTACCATATCACGTGGCAAGTGCTTGCATACCTCTGACCCTGCCAATCAGGTTCTCACAATGCGCCTGTTTCTGGTTACTGAGATTTCGTAGCTATCTAAGCAGGACAGAAATCAACTCGCATAGACAAATCCAGCATCCACAAGAAAGTTCTTAAGCCCTCAGCCTGCCCCTCGAAAGACAGCAACCACAGCACCACCAACAAGAACAGCAACAACAAAATAACCACTCATTAATTACCAACCATCAACCATTATCGCCAACGGCCAACCACCAAGCACCAACCACCAACAGCCAGCCACCACTGCCAGAAGATAAACAACGACGCGACGACAACTGACCCTTTTCTCCCATCTCCAACCCAGCAGCCTAAGCGTGAACCCTCAACTTCTCTGAGCCTTCCCCAAAAGGAAAACCCAAGCTCCTCCTTTTGCCGAGGCACTCGGGATCTCGACCTGGGCGCTGTAGTAATCGAAGCAGGCGCCCAAGCCACCTCAGTGTCGTAGGAGGCTCCTGAGAAAATCTTCCGGGTCTGAGGCCTCCAGGCTCAGGGGACCAGGGATGTCCGATGTGCGAGGTGTTGTTTCTCTGCTGTGAACGTTTGTGGGGGTGTAGACATAAGGCCATAGGGTGTACAATGCACAAGCTTTACGTAACGCTGTGTCTGTTTCAGGATGCATCTGCATGGAAAGTATTATCAACATTTTGTGTGTGGTTTGCATACTGGACCTGCATACGGTTCTTTCCGGTCTGAAAACGGGCTCACAAGGTTTGGGGGATGATAGGTTTGTTGGGCTTCAGCGATTTGGCTGCGCCCTGCTGTCCCGGATGCTGGTTTTCTGCGGAGAGGTTGGGTGGCTAAACCACGCTAGAGAGGAGCTGTACCACTATCGTCTATACGTGACGAGAAACTCGACACGTCTGTGCAGTGAGTTCAGCGAAACCCGAGAAACCTGAGAACGTGATCCAAGACAGCTCGAAAGACAGGCCTTTAGGATGAATGAAGCCCTAGAGCCATTGCCCTGCAGCTCAACATCTGAAACGAAGGAGAATCTCCTGTGTCCTGTTCGATCGATCCTAACAGAATCCAGCTGTGACGGGGAAGACAGGACACCAATCTTGCTGCACTCGTATTTGTAGATGCTCCTCAGCTGCTTCTGATTGTGGTTACGCCACCACGGAGTTCTCTATCCCGAGCCCGGAGTTCGCACAGCAACCCTACACTTCGAAGAACGATACCATAAGAAACCTATGCGAGGGTTCTGTCTCGAGTTCGGGGGTACTGTTGTGACTGCTGCGTTGTACCGATGCCCGGTATGTAGCCACTAGCTGCTTCGCTAAACAACACCACTCAACAGGTGTTCATTCTGCTGTCTTGTTTTTTCCTCCTCCTGGCCATGACCAACCTAGCATGGGTGGTATATCCAGAGAACATCCAAGCAGCGTTGCAATCGTGATTCTCAACACCTACATATCACCCCCTGCGGTTGGAGTTCCTATGTGCCGGGCTCCACACCCGAGAACCCGAAGGCCAACCTGTAAGCAGCCCTACGGTTGCTGGCTGGTTACATCGCTCCTAAAATCTATAAGACCCTAGAGTAGAATCATGGTTCCCTCCTACCCGAAGCCAAGACCATAGACGTTCAAATCTGGGTCTTGCGCTCGGCTGCTAGAAAGGGAGGCGCTCTCTAGCTCACACCTGTGGGATCGTTCGTGAGGCCTGTGTTTAAAATTCTGAAGTCCAAACGAGCGCCATATGAGTGTAACCCTAAAACCCTAAACCCACAAACCCTAAAATTAAAACCCTAAACCCTAAAACCCTAAATCCTCAAACCCTAAACCTTAAAACCCTAAACCTTAAAACTAAAACCTCTAACACGGGAGCTCTGGTCACAACTCGGGCTGACCTCCACATAAAGCCTCAATCCCCGCAGCCGGAAACCCTACAGCCCGAAACTCTGAAAAATCCCAACCGCTGAAGCTTGCCGCACACCTTCGCCTTGGACCCCTCTGTGGAATACTCGCAAGATTTGCTGTTACATCGTCCACTGCAGATAGCCATATAGCATTGCGTCTTGGATTGGAGTAGGTCTTTCGCTTTCCCCGCGCTAGGTTTGAGGGTCTATGTAGCTCCAACAACACGTGGTATGCCCGGCGTTGAGTGAATGGTGTCCCGAAGCCGCGCAGCCGCCCGGAGGCCCTGTTGAAAAATTCGGCTCCCCAACAGCCAGGCGACTTGGCAGCATCCAGCTTGAAGGCCGTCAAGGCTTCACCCGATGCGCCTGTAGATTCGCAGGTTTGGACTCGCGAGGCTGTTCGGGTTCGCAGGGCGGTGACCTTGCGCCTTCTCCTAGGCATTAGTGTGTGACACTGGCGATAAGCTGCAGTGTGCGCATCTTCAGCCGAGACATTCGTGTGGTTAGGAATTGGACAAGACGACCGAGGGCTGCTACCAGAATCAGACAGTAGCTCAGGCCCTGGACTCTCTCAGAACGTTGTTGTCATGCATGTTGCGGAACCGTTTTGCAATAGATGTACGGAGCACGTAGCTTCCATGCCGGTCTTTACGGAACAATTTACGTATGGTACAGCCATCAGGATTATCGGTCATTTTCTGGACAGGCACGGAGATGTCAGCAACACCTGGGACGTCTGCAAAATCGTCATGAGTGTTCCGGCGGCTAAATTTCTGCGTGCCCTGCATATGTTATTCTTATAATTGTGTCTGTACACATCAGGCAATGCGTCTACTCGTCCTTGTTTGCAGCGCCCATCTGCCTGGTAGATACTGACATCCTTTGAAAAGTCAGTTCCCACCTTTCTATGGGTTTCGCCACTCGCTGTTTTGGGCAATCTACAAGGCTACAAGGCTACGTAGTTCTCTAAATTAGTACGGCACCCTTTATAAAGAAGACCATAAAAGGGACCCTAATCTAGACAACTACCCGACAAGACAAGCTTGGTTCCA